GCTAATTAAACCATATCATAAAACAACACTGTTAGAATGCCCTGTAATAGTTAATGTTGTTTTAAGAAAAAGTTTGTTTAAAGGTTTTACAAACATTCCTTTTATTAATTACTCTTTCTCTGGTCAGACTAAACTCTTGACAAAGGCACACCCAACACCAGCCTAAGTAATGGTAGATAAATTTTAATAATTAAAAATTCAAGCCCTATATTTTGAGATCACATGAAAACACTCGGATTTTTCATGGTGGTGAATAGGTATAAATTTTGTTTCTTTTTTCTTTATTGCCTACATTTTGCACAATAAACATATTCTTATAAATACATAAGCATACAAACATTATTTAAGGAGAAAGGCTTTTCAGTTAATTACATCTTATCAGTAGTATCTTACTGTATTCCAAAATGTTTTGCTTTATTTAGGATACCACAGAGAGGCAAGCACCAATATACTGTCCCTGTCACCATAAATAGCAAAACCCTGTTCCTATTTTACTAAATTTCAATTATTTAAAAGACCTATATGTTACACATGCCTTCATATAAAAAATATGGATTGCCATACTCTACAGAAAATATATGGTAAATATATTTACTTTCAAGTACCCATATGGAATGACTGGCAAACCATAAATTCAAGGGAAAAGTTTAATATATATTCACTATTTAAAAACTCACTCTTGCTAATATTTTGTACTGTGTATATATATATATACACATATATATATATATTTCACATACAGTGGCCATCATTGACAATCACAAATTAAATCATATCTATTCCTAAGAAATTATTAGACAGATCTTGTACTGATTTGGGGGGAAAAAAGGCTCTATCCCCAGAAAGAAATGGATTACAGAAAGGAGGTAAAATAGTGAAGCTCAAGATTTTCTTTTTATTGAAAATGTATTTCTAGAAAATCTAACTGACTTGTCTATGTATACAAAACTAGGTAAATACAAAACAGATACAGAGATTTATAAATTATCTTCCAATTTAAGTTATCTATATTTTTATTTACCTCTGTTCTATCTACAATGAATCCATGAGTTAATTACTCAAACTGTTCCTTTAAAAACTTATTCAAAATAAGTTTTAAATTAATGTATCTTAAGATTGAAATTAATTTTCTGCTGCAGATACAAAAAAAAGAGTATTTAAAATTTCAAATGTTCATTGCTGTTCCACTTCCAGACTAAGGTGAAGTAGATGCATTCCTCCCTAGTACAGCTAAAAGCCCTGAACATTCTATTTGAAACAAATGTAAGAAGATTCTAGAAGGTGGTGGAAAGGCAGACCACCTAGAACCTGAGGACCCAAAGAATGACACACAGAAGTAATTCTATGAGTTTTCTTTTTGACTCATATAATAGGATGGCCAGCAACCAGGAAATGCCAATGGACACAAACAAAGACATTCCCAAGAAATGCTATCCCTCTCCAGCCAAAAGACCACAAAAGGGGTAGAAGAGAAAACTGTTAGATCATCAACACCCTATGACAGCTGGACCCCATGGAAAAACATGACTCCAACTCCAGCAATGTGAGCAAAGGCCAGAATGCTGAGCCCAGACTTCCACCCTCACCCAGCTATAAAGTGGCTGCCCCTGAGTTGATAACAGAGAAAACCATGTGGTCTGGAGGTATGTTCAGGACGTGCATCCCCACCCAGAGGTAAGGAGGCTCCATCTTCCCCTCCTTGCCTATGTCAGAAGAAGCTGAGTAGGGAGCCAGAACTTTACCACCACTGAGAAGTAATAAGGCCTCCTGGCTCTATGGTGCTAGTACAAGTGCACGGGGACAGCTCCAGAGTTCCTCTCCTCCTCCTAGCCCAGTGTCAGCCAAGGCCCACAGGGGGCCTACAATTCCACTTTGTCTCAGGAGCAAGGGCACCACTTCTGCCCAGGGTGGCAAAGGTTCAGTGGGAAACTTGCAATTTCACCCACACCTGACATTTACAAAGTGGCCTCCACCTTTTCCCAACCTGTGTAGTGTCAGAAGAGGCCTATTAAAATTTAAACAAGATACAAGGCATCACACAAAACACCCAAAATGCATAGGATATAATTGAAAACCACTCACAATACCAAAACAAACACTAAACACTATTTTCACTTTTTTTTTTTAAATAAAAGCTAAAATGCTCTTAAGAAAACAGGTATTAATATAGATCTTTCATAAAAGTAGAGAGACATAAGGCATACTTTTGAAAAGCAGCGGTTACCTGTATAAGCTTAACAGCATGCCCGCCTTTGCATTCAATTTGGCACTGAGACCTCCTAGCACATTTTTCTTTTTTTTAGTCCTAACACATTTTTTCTATCACTATTTAGCCAAGGCGATAAACTAATCTATACGTTGATTTACTCTTTTAATCACATGGTATGAAAAAGAAGAGAGTTCCTTCTTGGTGCTGAAGTAAAATCATCTGAAAAAATGTTTCTGTGGAAGTACTGTTTCCTATAAAAGAAGAGCTTTTTAAATTGAACATTCATTTTGAAGACTCAAGTTGTAACTGTTTATCACTTTTAAAAATAAAGGCAGTAAGACAATGATAATGCCACTTGACCTTTATATAGATCTTTATTGTGAAAATTTCAAGTGCTGTATGGTCAGGTCCCAGATGGTTTCTTGGTATGTTATTGTTCCCATTAACAGATTGAGAAATTAAATTTGCAAAGGCATATGTTACACTATAGGGCCCAATTAAGTTACTCAACGGAGACAGAAGAAAACACCCAGTTCTGTCAGTGTTCAGTGCCATGCCTTCTAATACACACCTTAATTCCAAGTATGGGGCTGGTAAAAGTGGCCATACCCAATGTGACTGCCCTTGGTGAAGAGGGTGCATACTGAACATTCATTCAAGAATGTTAATTGCGTCCATACTATGTGCCAGGTATTGCTGTCGGTACTACAATGGAAGTTCCTAATCTCATGGAGTTTACACTCTCGTGAGGGGTGGGGGACTAAAAATATGCAATCAAAATAAAATAACAGGTGGAGTTAAGTGCTACGAGGCAGGGCGAAAAAGCAAAGCAAAGGGGCCAGGGCATGCTAAGCATGTACCTAGTTCTCATTTTATTAGCATGGCCACAGAAAGCCTCCACAAGAGTAGATGTCTGAAGGGTCACTGAGCCTTGTTAAAATATAATTTTCAAAAAGTTAAAATGTGACTCATAAATATAAATTGAACATATGTCAAAGATTTATTCTACTCATTTATTAATAAATAAGCCATTCACGTTAAGACTTAAATCAGAAGACTGGTTCAAAGTTCATTTAAAGATATGTAAAGATAGATAGATATATTTATTTATATATTTATATAATTTTAAAAAACAGATTGTTAGACAGGAAAGAGCACTAGGTGAGAGAAAAAACTGGCACCTGTCCTCCTATAGGGTTATCTTTTCTAAAAGATGAATTATTCACATTACCTCTGGGGAAAAAACATAATTAGCATGCAATATCAATAAAGCATGAGTTAAAGTACATTCTCCTAAATAATCCTTGGGTAGAGCTATTAAACGATGTCCCCATACATGTTGAAAGGACACAGTGCTCAGCCTTTTCCTTATTTTCATGTTTTGCATAATTTTTAACAGAGCCATGTAGGTATCTGGACACAGGGCATTCCAGGCAGAGAGACTGTGACTAAATCATAAACCATTTCCCTCCACTCACCACTCCAACAGCCAAGGAATGCCCTCCCAGACACACACATTCACCTGGACCTTATTATGAAGTTTGGTGTAAGTAAATAGCTGGGGGTAAACTGGAAAAGTGGGAGAAGCCAGAAGATTTACACTGGAAGGAGAATGAGAATTGAGACCGGGAAATGTTTTGACTTACATTTTTAAAAACACTACTTGCTGAAATAAAAACTCATTAAGCAGAAGAGCAAGAGCAGAAGCTAGAAAACCACTTATAAGACTATTAAAATGATCTAGGCAAGTAAACAAGTTGGTCAGATGGAAAATTGCTACAGAGGAAAAAAGCATCATATGGGAAGGTTGATATGGGATGTCAGCACTGTTTAGAAAGGTCTCTATAAGGTGATATCTGCATGGAGACCTGAATGATATAAAAAAGAAAACATGCAGAAAATTATGAGAAGAGTTCCAGATATAGGGATAAAGCAAAATGAGAAGAAGCAGAGGACAGGCAGGGAGAAAGGATAAGAGAGAATATAGGACCTTGCAAACCAGATCAAGGACTCACTTGCCTTTTAGTTCGGGTGAGATGAGAAGCCACTAAGGTCTCAGAGCAGAGAAATAACAATCAACTTTAAGTGTTAATCAGATCGCATGGGGCTGCAAGGTGGAGAATGGTCTGTAAGAAGGCAATGACAGAACCATAACGATTGGTTAGAAGATACTTTAGTATTACAAAGGAGAAATAAGGAAGGCCCAGAACAGGTTGGTAGCAGTGACCATAGTGATAAATAGTCGAAACCTGGATATTGTGAAGGTAGAGCCAACAGGTTTCTCTGAAGGAACAAACAAGAAGTATAAAAAAGGATAAATGCAGTTTTTCACCCTTAGCATATGGAAAGAGAGAGTTGCCATTTACTGAGATGGGGAAGAACAGAAAAAGAAAAAAAAAAAAACTTTGTTAAGGAAATTTGAGGAGGCAAAAACGAGGAGACATTGATTACAATATATAGAAAAGGTCAAATATCTCAATTTGTGGGTTACAGCATTCTAAAAATCTTTTCAAATATAATCACAAGTAACAAAAATTAGAATTCCAAAATTCCAAATTTTATCCATCCAAAACAGGATATTTTTCACCAAACTGAGTCTCAAACAACTAACCCTCATAGCTTCTCACAGACTCATACTTTTCAAAATGACATTTATCATTAATTTCACCCATATTAGTCAATATTTTACATACTTATTCATTCATAAAGTATTTATTGAGCACTCTTTGAAATTGTATTACATGCTTCACAAAAGGCCTACATATGAACTTGTAAAGCACACTCAATTTACCTGAAGTTCTTTGTATCTATCTTGAAAAGAAATGGCCTCTTGCTCTTTTTCTTTAAGGAAATCTTTTTCCAAGACACTATGTTTTTCTATCAATGATTCCACATCCTAAAAGAGAAATCCAAGCCAAATTATGTAATGTGTAATGGCATGAAATATATTCAGTTTTTTCAATGAACATTCCTGAAAATGTTTGGTAAGAAAAAGACCCAAAGGAAGTATGATTTAAAGTTCAACAATATTATATTCTGCATGCTTCACTTTCATTTCCAGACCAATATCAAACATTGATAAAAACACTAAAATCATTCATGCTAATAAATGAATAAAAGCATCTAAGCTAATTACAATAAACACAATTTATATCTACATATACTTTCTATAAATTTGCTAAAGTCTTTTTATAGATATATTTGTAGGAAAGAGAAATGAGAACATAAGTAAATAATTTACTTAAATAACTGGATATCTATATACTCTTGTCAAATATCCCATGATGACTGACTTCACATAGGAACAAGACAATACTACAAATCTTCTAAACTATATAATAAATACAATACTACCTGCTTTCAAGGTAAATAAAAATAAAACAGAAGAAAGTAGGTAGAGAAAACAAAAATCTAATAAAATATGTTCATAACTTTAAAAGTACACATTTAAGCCCTGTCCAGTTCTGCTCAGCAGTTAAAACGTTGGCCCGGGGACCAGAGAGTCCCGGATTTGGTTCCCACTAAGGCCACGTACCTCCGTTGCGGTTTGTCCCCAGCCTCGGTTGGGTTGTGCGGGTGGCAACCACTCGATGTGTCTCTCTCAACGTCGATGTTTCTCTCTTTCCCTTCCAACCTCTCTCCTTCCCGTTCTGTCTGAAGATAAATGCAAAAATGTCCTCGGGTGAGGATTAAAAAAAAAAGTACACATTTAAGACCAAAGATTTCTTATCAAAGACTTTAAGTGATAAACTCAAATGACTGATTTAAACCTACAGCCAAGACAGGACTGTGTCTTTTTCCACTGATGAGTTTTTAATCAAAGATTAGAATTTTGCCCTGGCCAGTTTGGCTCAGCGGTTAGAGCGTCGGCCTGCGGTCCGGAGAGACCCGGGTTCGGTTCCCGCTAAGGGCACGTACTTCGGTTGCAGTTTGTCCCCGGCCCTGGTTGGTCATGCGGGTGGCAGCCACTCGATGTGTCCCTTCACGTCGATGTTTCTCTCTCTCTCTCCCTTCCTCTCTCTCCCTCCCACTCTATCTGTACAAAAAATGGAAAAATATCCTCGGGTGAGGATAAAAAAAAAAAAAAAAAAGATTAGAATTTTATCAAATTTCCAGAATATACAATTCAAACATTTATTTTATTTTTTTTAGGAAAATGTAAATATACCTTTTTAATTCTCTGTTTTTCTTCCTCAGAAGCTTTGAGTTTAATCTCTAAACTTGAAATTTTCTGCTGAAGCTGTATGTTTGATACATTGGCTACAGGATCCTCAGAATCTTCCACAAGAGCAATTGTTCCATTACTTTTCTCATCAGTTAAACCCAATGGAAAAAGTGAGATATCCAGATCAGTGTGTGTTGATTGCTGAATCTAAACCACATTAAAAAAAATATATACAAGAGGGAAAAGTTTAGACTGTACCAATAATGAAAACATCCAAAGGGCACCAGAAACCACATTTGGAAATTAAGTTGTAGCAAGGGTTCTGAAATTATTTCACCCTTTAAGTGAATCAACAGAAGACCTCAAACTATTACAACAACCTGATCTTTGCAGTAAGACACAAATTTCCTCTAAAGTTTAAACTTTAAAGCATTTATTGTTTTGCAATCAAAGCACTACAAATTTAAAATTTTTCCTTATGCTTGAAAATGTATAAAGTATAGACATATCTGATACTCACCAGTTCTTGAATTTACACACACATCAGAATTTGCTTATATTTTAAACTGTAAATCAGAATTTGAAATTTGTCAATAACCTCTAATTAATCATCACTTTCTAGTACAGATAACAATTCTCAAGACTGTATATAATACTTGGGAAATCTGGACTAAATCCAGCATCTAGCACAATTCCTGGGTCAATAAATATTTGAATAAATTTTCAAACTGCTCTTTTTTTAACTTCTACTCTGAAATTGAGAAGAATACTCTAATACCTGAAAACATATAAGTGTCCCTGAAAAGAGAAATAAATTATTCCTTTTTTTGTAATTATTTTCCCTTTTGAAGTTCACAATTTGAAATGTAAAACTAAGTCTATTTTAATAAATGAGACACTCAAATCATATTTTGATAACTAAGGCTACTTAAATACTTTGTAATTGTTCCCCCAAAAAAACATATCATTCAGTTTTTTGAATTCTAGACACTAGCCTCAAAGTTAAAGTATCTACAGAAGTATTTTTCAGAAAGTGAAAAAAAGTAATCAGAAAATCTTCAAAACTTCAATGAAACCAGTAGGTAATTTTTCAAGTATGCAAATTTCCTATAAAAATATGCTCATCTTTACCTGTGTTTTTGAGACAGTTTGACTGACAATGCTGTTGTCTGCATGTGTAATCTCTGGTGATGAAATGATGGGCTCAGTCGAGAGGCAGCCAACGGAAGAAGAGTGGTCATGGTCGAGTATAATCGCAGGAGACGCTGGAGAAAGATGGACTCCAGATACTGAAGGAAAACACACAGATAAACAAAAAGATGATTAAAGGAAAAAGAAAAAAACAGGTGGAAGGAATGAAAGAGAGTAGAGAGGGGGAAAGGGAGAAGGGTAAAGGAATTAAAGGCAAAATGACTGAAAATGAGGATTCTATGACTATTCTGAAGGACCATTACCTGAAATCTAAAACTAGCATTTCTAAATTTAACTGACATTTCCACGAGACACAGGCAAGCAAAGCAATAATGTCTTAATGTTAACATATAACTATCACTATAAGAAGTGCATGTTCAACTCAGAGAAAATATTCCAACATATTGCCTATCTATCAAGTTAGGTCAGAAACAGCAGTAGCATACCTACTAGTGCCTAGGCACTGACTAGGCATCGATACTAACCAGGCATGGGCACTGACTAGGCACTGATACTAACCAGGCATGGGCACTGACTAGGCACTGAGAAGACAGCAGTGAGCAAGCAAAGTCAAGTATTCATATACTCAATGACTTTATGACCCAGTATTCAAGACAAATCAATTATTACAATACAGTGAGCTAAGGGAAAGGATAATCACTTTAAAATAACTAATCTACTGTCTCTGTGTTCTTTTTCAACAAAAGATTTTTCACACTAAAGTCAAAGTTAGTTCGCCGAATTGTTTGCCGAATTGTTTTTATAAAAAAACAATGTTGAAATACAATTACGTAAGTAGTTTTGCAACAAAACATTATTAGATTGTGATCAGGGTTCAAATACAAAGGTCACAAAAGGTAAACCAATGGCCAAGCATGATATAAAACAAAAATATTGATGAGAGCAAAATAAACGGACTGTATTTATATTACTGGATTTTCAAATGTTCTTTCTAAAAATCCAAATACATTTATTTGTACTATGTGTTTTAAAGTTTAAGAAGAGTAAATTATTTTTAGCAGTAAGCCATTTGTATGTTTTGACTTTCTAAATCATAAAGACCTTTATTCCACATTGGCATCAGTGGCAACGTCAGCGAAGTCCTACCATAAATTCTGGAAGGCAGCTCACAATGGATATTGCATTTTTGCCTGAAGAAAAATATTTATACGGTCATTATTAATAAACTAAAGAATACATCAATTTCTGATTGGTATCCTATGGGAGCATTTATTTATCTTATATACTTTTATTTTATAGCAATAGTGTGCTTTTAAAATAGTATGTGCCATACTCGATAAGGTATTCTTAGCTTCCCACAAGCATTTCATGATTTTAACTAAAATACGAAAAACTGGAATTTCAACTCATATTTGTACTTGACATATCTTTTTCAGAACTTACTTTTTTCTAATCTTCACAATTCCATATGCCAATACATTTCTCTAAAATGTCAAAATATTCTAACTTGTAATTCTAAATTATAATTTATAATAAAAACATTACTAATTAATTTTAAAGGTATGAAATAAGTACTATAGTATAGTAAGAGCAAATACAACCCTGTCATTAAGACCATAGACTCTGCAATCTAATTACCATACCAGATATAGAGAAATAAGCAAGTTTACTTAACTTCCCTCAATTTCCTCATCTGTAAAACTGGCATAGATTTTCCCATGAGATATAAATTGACTAAAATATGAGAAGTTTTAGCACTGTGCTAATATTACTTTTATTATTATTTCAAACACTAAAATCTGTTAGACAAGTATGTTTACTTCTGGGCATAAAAGTGACTCTAATCATGGATTTAAGAAACTCTTAAAAATATTATTCTGATCTAACACCTGAACATTTTAACATCTCTGTTTTTATATTTCTAGCCAAAATCTAAGACAAGGTATCATGCTGACCCTAAATTCTCAATCTGTAACATTAAATGTTTAAGAACATCATATTAGGAAAAGATGGAGGGAAAGTGGTAGAATAAAGAAAGGGAGGGAGAGTGGGAGGAAGCAAAGACAAGAGACAAGGGGAAGGGAAGGGAGAGGTTGGGAGGAAAGGAGGAAGAGGGTAAGAGAAGCATCCCCAACCTCACACTTCCCACTGGCTACTGCCACCTATCACACTTTCCCTTCATATCCAAATGTTTTATCTCCAAATGATTCCTGTCTCAGTTTTCTTTGTCACCTAATCCTCATCAATCTACTGAACTTATCAATTAAGATATTAATTTTCCTTTAAGTTACCATTAAATTAAATGAACACATCTTATTTTATCTTTGTTTAGTTCCCAAGGGCCCTAATACCAATGACCCTTCATTTACCTTGAAATTTCCCTTGGTACCTGTGAACTACTTTATCCTTGATTTCCTCCTCATATTTTGACTAATTTTTCTTGTTTCCTCTTCAGACTTTTTTCCCATTCAATTTCGAGATTCACTGTTTTTCTCATGCTCTAATCTCAATATTCACATTATTCTTACCACTTTCAAAACCCATTATATAAACTATCACCTATAAGCTAATAATATCTAAATTTATGTATCTGCACTAACCAGTCTGCAGACCTCCAAATACATATATTCACCTAACTACCAGATGGGTACATTTAGCTGTCTAGTAGGTACATCAAACTTACCCATCATCTTATATAAACCTGCTTTGTTTCATGTTTTCCATTTTAGTTAACAGTATCTCAGTGAACTATTTGCCCAAGCCAGAAATGATACCACTAAGAGCTGACCTTATTCCAGTCACACTGTGCTAACAGTTACTGATTATGCCATACTGTTAAATACCTCTGTGACCTCACAATATCACCACTCAAGCAAAAGCCATAAATATATAGTCAGAAATGGATTCAAATCTCAATAACAACTTACTTCTTATGCAGCCTTGGGCAAATTACATAAACTGATCTAAACTACTGATTCTTTTTCTAAAAATGGAAGAATAATATGTACCCCAAAATGATGTTATGTAGCTTAAATAGATAATGTAAATAAATAAGCAGCTTGGCTGTACCAGATAGGTACATTCATTAAAAGAAAACTGTCACTGAATATTTTTAAATCATTTCACAACATTCAAAAAAAAAACTTTATTAAGACTCTTTTCACCTATTCCATTACCCTATAACCCACCCAAATACAATATAATTTTAATTTCCCACTATCAATATATTACAATTTTTAAAAGAAATTATGTTAAAACATCATATAACCTATGGATATATTTATAGCAGTGTTTAGGAAAAAATCTATAGCCTTGAACACTTCAATTAAAAAAAAAAATAAATGAATTAAATTCCCAACTTATAAACTAAATAGAAACTGAAAAGAAAGCATAACAAAAATAATAAAGACAATGCAGACATCAAAGTAAATTAAAAGAATAGATCTAATTAAATATAATTCTGAATTTCTAAAAAAGTAAACAAAATAGTAGTTAACCTATTAACACTAAAAGAACAAAAGTACAAATATACAACTTAAATGCAAAGGGAACATAATAATTAAAACAGAAGAAAAAATTTTAAATCATAAAACTTATCTACAGATTTCTCCTTAAATAAAATTTAAACTGTAGAAAAAAATGGGCAATGCACGTAGAAATACAATTTATCAGATGATCTGATTAGAATAAAAATAAATAAATACACAACAACAACAACAACAAAACTTTTAAAAATAGATTTCCTTGGGGAAAAAAATAAAGGTCTCAGGCAACCACCCCACAGATAAAGCATTTCACAAGAGGGTTTCTACCAAAAATTTTAAAAACAGATACTAACAATGCACTAACATTGCTCCAAAGCATTAAAAATAAAGAAAAACTGCATTAGTTTACATAACAGTGACATAACATTAATAGCTACCCTGATAAAGATAATACAAAAAAAGAATAATTAGAGATTAGATAATCGCAAAAATAATGAAGTAAAAGTTCTAAATAAATGTTAGTAAACAGAATCCTACACTATATTGAGAACATGTTATGAAATGAACAAGTCAGATTTATTCCAGGAATACAAGACTAATTCACTATTAGGAAAGTCATTAATATAATATTCCATACTGATACACTTCAAGAGAAAATGATATGTTTATCTCTAAGACTGAAAATATTTTAAGTAAAAATGAAAACTCAAGAAAATTGGAATTGATACATACTTTCTTAAAACAATAAATATAGACCTTAGTCCTAAAGTCATCATGTTAATTAATGAAAAAAAAGGAGAGGGAGAAAGAGATCAAATTAGACTAATACCTCTATGGTCACAAAAAAGGCAACAATGTCTACTATCTCCATACCATTTAACATTGCATTAAATGCATGAGCCAATGCAATTAAACAAGAAATATTAAACTATAAAAATAGAGAAAGTGCCCTGGTCAGTTTGGGTCAGCAGTTAGAGCAAGGGCTGTGTGACTCAGCTGTGCACAAGATAAGCATAGAGGATGTGAAAAAAATGGAGGCGGAGTGAATAGAAGCTACACAGATGACCTCCCAGGACCAAACGGAAATTACAACTAAAATAAAGACAAATATTCAGAAAAAAAGCAACAGAAAAGCAGCAGGAAAGGACCATATAACCAAGGACACTGGTAGGATCTACGGAGGCACAAGAGGGTGGATGGCTGGGAACCCACTGATAGCAGCAGTCTTAGCTGTGAGCAGTTCCCTTGTGGAATAAAGACCAAGCCCGCTCCACAGCACAGAGAGCCAGGACAGAGCACTAAAATAGTCACAGTCACTCACCTGGGGGCGACAACAGAGGGAGGGCAGACTGGGCTGAAACTCTGTGGGGACAGCCGGAATTTGGAGGGCACTCAGAGTTTTTGCTGAGTTGCAGAAACAAAAGATGGTGGCCAGTGAGCTCCTTCCCAGAGCTGTGGGGAACAGCAGCAGCCCTGCCTCCCCCACACCCCCACCTCAGAGATTCAGCCTTTCCAAGAAGAGGCAAAGAAATGCAAATTGAGGCTCATTAACAACCAGCCTCCATCCCACCTTCTGGAAATCCTCTTATTCAGAACACCAGGGCGACATTCCAAGGCACTGAGTAACTGAGACTAGTAGCCACCAGGAAAAA